GACGTCACGACCAATCCGTTCGCGAGAATCCACCTAAAGATTTCCCGCCAAAATCATTGCGTTCAGGATCGCTTTCAAGGAAGTCATTACTTCAACTGGTATTAGCATTGATATTTGCTGTTCTCAAAAAAAAACATAAGAAATTACAAATTACATCTGTAAGAGGACAAAGAGAGCTCAATGCTATCAAAAATATATCAAGGCGTGAGCACGGGCAGCCTAGCTGAAGACTTCGTAGCACATTAGTCTTTATTTATATTTTCCAGACTTTCTTTGGTCATTCTTGAATTTCAGATTTATGTTAAAGACAATCTATTTATCAGAAACGCGATTACTGTGTAAATATTTCACATAATTCAACCTATCAAAGTAAAAGTAGACAGATTTATGGTTAACCTCACTATTTTCATTTATATATTTATTTGTTTTTTTTTATTTTTTTATTTATTCTTTACTGTTGTAAATGATGCAATCTCACTTTTTAATGGAAGTCTTAGTAGGCAGTGTCACAGAAATAGATTTGTGAGGCAGTAATTAAATGCATCGTTTGATTCGTGTAATATTATCTTTGTAGAATATTGCGAGTTTGAATTTTGTTGTAAGTTTCCAGTGATTAAATTTTCTTTGATTATACGATTATTCGTATGATTTATTATAGAAAACGGTTCTAATTTTGTTTCATTTTTTTTGCTGCTGGCATTTTTTATTTGAAATATCTTAGTATGTGGACTATTATGTGAAACGTATGTGTGTATAGGCTGATGTAGAAGTGAATGAATTTTATATTTGTCATTATGAGTCAGATATCCTGTTTATCCAGTGAAATAAGTTGAAATATGTGATATGGCCAAGACGTTACCGCGTTTTCCCGCCAAATTTACCCAGGCAACAAGTAGCCCCGCCCCTTGCAGCATCTGTAATTAAGAAAGAATATGGTTATACCGGAAGGTTGAGGTTTGAGTCGATCACTGATATCAAGAGATATATTGACAGTAAGAATGGGATTTAAATATGCATTGACTAATTATTGATAATAGCCCATTTGTACAAATGTTTCCCATCCTTGAAGCTGATTGGTTCACGCACGAGCAGCGCTTAGTTCTGATTGGTCTTCCTATAATCTGTATTATGATTGGCTGGGAGAGCCTGGGCAAGGCGCCACCACCAGCTCGAACAGGTTTTTTGTTGACTGACACGCTCATGGAAATTGCGTTTGTGCTTTGACATTCTTGTATACGCCAGTATTTCTGGGAAGAGCTGGCAGTTAAAGTGCTAAAGGATTGTTGCAGTCACAGTGGTAACCCCAAGGACTTCGGTGTAGTCTGGGGAAGAGCGCTGGCGTTGGGCTTGCTGCCTTGCAGAGTGATTTTCTACCCTCACGTGATCATCGCATTGGTTGGTGTTTATTAGTATACTGTATTTGCCTTTATAAGAATAGTGATGTGCCATTATTTCCATGTAGGTGTAATCTATGCCAAGTGCTGATACCTGATATGTTTTACATAAGCGGAATTGTCTCGCATAGATGCAAGGGTGCAGGCTGTCTAGCTGTCCTGAGATGTACCTGTCGTGCGTGACGTGCCTGTGGTGATGTGAAGTGTCAGTGTTACCCGCTTTGGGATACGATGTACGTATTTTATGTTTGTGTATTGAATTTGCTATTTATGTTAGCCATTTTGAAATTATTTGTATATTAGGTGAGCTGCATTTCAGTACATAGCAATGGTATCTATTTGTTTGCAGCTCGAATGTCTCCTCCAAGAAAGGATTAAACCGTGTGCAAGAATCCAAGAGACTATTCTTGAAGCCCTTATTGCTGCAGGCAGTGCAGACACATTGTACTGGTGGCCCCACAGTGTGACGTATTCTGTAGTTGGAGATACTGGGGGCTACAATGTTCGAGACGGAAAGTGCTGATAAATGAAGACGCATTTCTTGTCTTGCTGCCGCATATATATTGAACCAATATCATGTATCAGTTATCTGTTTTAGATCCATGTTTTTCATTGTTTTCCTCGTGTTGTAAAATTTCAAATCATGGCAATACTATCAATATATTTTTGTCTAGATCTATCTCTATATCTATCTTTATAACTTTCGATATATTTGTATTTATATTTATTGTATATATATATATTTTTTTTTTCGAGTGTGTGCATTGTTCTAAATTTTAACAAACACTTTAAAGTATGTAATTAAATCGACCGGACAACCAATTATATTTGTGCTTCCCTTCAGGTGATCCCTGTTGCAGGCTGCGCCGTGAGACTTCCAACTAAACGTTTTGTCCCCGTGACAATGCACCTTTTATGCCATTTCCAAGATTAAGGAAAATGTAGCATTCTTTAATACCACACATAAATTTAATCACATAAATACAAGATATATTGTCGGCCAACATACTGCTCTGTGTTACACTATACCATTATCTACTGAAGGTACTGGAGGAGGTGGTTGGAATTTCATGATTATGGAGAGATAAAGTGCAGGTATGCAAGCAAAGGGAAGCGTGTGCGGTGGAAGAAGAGGCGGTCACAAGAGGAAGGCAGAGTGGAGTGCTCCAGCTTGGGCCAGGAGTGTGAAACTACGACCAAGTAGATGCTATACCGTTCTGGACTCCAGCCAAGTTGGTGGCAGCTGCAAAGGGCATATTCAGACATGCATATACACAGAAATCAATGCATATTTGTCTATCTGATAGATATACATTTATGTGTCAATCTGAACGGTTGATATGCACGTCTAAATATATGCATATCCGTATATAAGACCATTCATAGGGTTGGACCTCGCAAAATCTTAACAAACCTACTGCAAGTATATGTCGCTGTCGACTCCTGCCAAGTCAGTGGCAGCTGCAAGGGGCGCTGTCAAATTTTCACTATTATTGTCTCTAAACGTCCTGGTAATAAAACGTTCTCATTCAAAGTCTTAGTTGAGTCGTTCTATACTTCTATATTTTTTTTCAATCATTGCACAGTAGTAATATGGCAACACTAGAATGCAGTTTAATGATTTGAAAGGTATGATATATCGTTTTATATAAAATTAAAAATGCAAGCTATTAGTTACAGACAAATATACAGATAGAGAGAGAGAGAGAGAATATACAGAGAGTGAAGGACAGACTCACTATAGCATACTGCATAGCATGCCATGCGGCGCGGACCCGGACCACGTGGCATGCTATGCAGTATGCTATATCGTAGGTGCCTAGCGATATAGCATACTGCATAGCATGCCACATGGACCGGGTCCTCACCGCGTGGTTGGACCACGTGGTCCGTTCGCGCCCTCTTGCGCCCACTGGTCAGAATATAAGGGTGGCCGACCTCTTTTCTTTTAACTTTGCTTGCTTGACCCAAGCTCTCATTCTCATACCCTCGGCGAGCTTGCCCGTAGTCGGCCGTACCACCTCGTTGGCGTGTAGGCCGGACACAAGCACCAAGAGCCGTATCGCGTTCCTTTCATACTAGTGTTCTTAAATAAAAGTGCACAGCTACATCAGTGTATCTCTACCGACCAGTAATTCAATAAATCCATATAGGAGGATTTAGAGCCTTTTATACTCACACACACACACACACATGGACAGATAGAAAGACAGACAGGCAGTCAGAGAGAGAGAAAACGAAACGAGAAGAGGTGGCACAAGGAGGGGAAAGGAGAGCAAAATCTAATGGAAAATGAGAAAAAAGAGATACCATAGACCCAGTCAGCCACAAAAAAAAAAAATCATGAATAAAAGATAAAAAATATAAAAATAAGACAGGATCACTGAAACAAGACGGAAAGAGGAAGAGTTGAAACCGATAAACGAGGATGAAGCAAGGCAAATTGATGAGGCGAGTCTCGAGTGAGTGAGCGGGAGTAAGGAAAAGCAAATATGCAATCTTATGCTTGTTTGTTGTGGCGAAAGGGAGGCGAGGTTGAAAGGTTGATAGGAGGGGAGGAGAAAAGGTAAGAAATGTGGGGGATACCCAAGAGATGGAGAACAAGGGGGAGGGTAGTGTGTGAGAGAGGGGGAGGGAAGGAGATAAAGAGTGAGAGAGGGAAGAGGGTGTTGTAATGAGGGAGTGTGCATAGAGAGAGGGAAGGAGGGAGATAGAGATAGAAAGAGAGAAAGCACAAAGAAATGCGAGAGGAAAAAGAAAATGGTAATTGTAATGATGAAGATAATAATGATGACACTAACAATAATAATAATGGTGATAGTGATGTTACCTCTATCACTGTTATTTCTTATAATATCCTTATCATTATTATCATTATCATCAATATTATAGTTGCTTTAACGTCATCTAAAGCCGTCACTGACGGATCCCTCTTCATTTTCAAAGCATTTTTTACATGTTTCGGTAACTTATTCAAGCAAACGGCTAGTTTCAAGCCGTGACATAATGCATTTTCGCCATACCCATTGATTCCACGAGACATATTCCACAATGATCTCTAGATATTACAGTTCAAGAAATTATCAAATTTCATAGTAAAGTTGAATCTTTTGTTGTGCTTGAAAGGTCTGAGCTTCAAAGGTGCTCGAGTATGACGTCACGATCAAAGATTTCCCGCCAAAATTCCTGGACATCAAAACTTATTATTATTTAAGTATTAGTATTATTTAAGTTAAAACGAATCTGTAGGATTAAATATTATATATCGTATGTATATATATTATATAAATCAATCCTTTTGGAGACAAAAAATAGGAAATAAGTAACAAACTTGCTCAAGAATTGCTTTCGTTTTTTATTGATATGCACCAAATTCCTTAATAAAATCCCTCTACCATTGAGGATTGAATAAAAAGTATAAGTAAGGTTTTCAGATAGTCGTACTGGGTAAAGTAAACTAGTCAGCGGAGGCCTTCATTTGGTGTAAACAAAATAAAAAAAATATCAAAATGTTTCCCTGTCCTTTTATATCTTAGCCTCACATCTAAAGCAAAATGTACAGGTGAGACAAATAATTCAGCGCACTCTGTGGACCTTCTGGTGTTTTTAGATTACCACTTGCATTAAACCCTTTTCCACATTCGGAACACTAGAACGGCTGAGTGAATCCTCTGGTGGAACCACTTGTTTTCCACACTCGGAACACTCGAACGGCTTTTCTCCTGAGTGAATCCTCTGGTGTTTCTTCAGAGAACCACTTTCACTAAATCTTTTTCCACACTCGGAACACTCGAACGGCTTTTTTCCTAAGTGAATCTTTTGGTGTTTCTTCAGAGAACCACTTTCACTAAATCTTTTTCCACACTCGGAACACTCGTACGGCTTTTCTCCTGAGTGAATCCTCTGGTGTGCCTTCAGATGACCACTTTGATTAAACCTTTTTCCACACAGAACACTCGAACGACTTTTCTCCTGAGTGAATCCTCTGGTGTGTCTTCAGATGACCACTTTGATTAAACCTTTTTCCACACTCAGAACACTTTTCTCTGAGTGAATCCTCTGTTTCTTCAGATGACCACTTTGACTAAACCTTTTGCCACACTCGGAACACTCGAACGGCTTTCTCCTGAGTGAATCCTCTGGTGTTTCTTCAGAGAACCACTTTCACTAAATCTTTTTCCACACTCGGAACACTCGAACGGCTTTTCTCCTGAGTGAATCCTCTGGTGTTTCTTCAGAGAACCACTTTCACTAAATCTTTTTCCACACTCGGAACACTTGAACGGCTTTTCTCCTGAGTGAAACCTCTGGTGTGTCTTCAGATGACCACTTTGTTTTTCGGAACACTCGAACGGCTTTCTCCTGAGTGAATCCTCTGGTGTTTCTTCAGATGACCACTTTGACTAAACCTTTTCCACACTCGGAACACTCGAACGGCTTTTCTCCTGAGTGAATCTTCAGAGCTTTTTCCACACTCGGAACACTGAACGGCTTTTCACCTGAGTGAATCCTCTGGTGTCTTCAGATCACCATTTAAACCTTTTCCCAGACTCGGAACGCTCGAACGGCCTTTCTCCTGATTCTATTTTTGGGTTTCCTTCAACTTATCACTGTCAGCAAATCTTTTCCTACTCTCTGAACACTCCAACAGTTCTTTTCCACTGTGTATTAACACATGTTTATTTAGGATATCAGCAGATTCACACTTGTAATCACACTGCGAACACTCAGTATTATATTCATCACATGCTGGCGAACACAGCGTCTCATGAGACGCCTTTTCCGGGATCTGCGGCGCCTCTTCTCGCAAAGATTGTTTGGTTGAGCCACTACTGCTGCTGGTTCCTCGCGTGGAGCATGTTGGCGGCGTGTAAGTGCGAATATGCTTTCTGAACACTTTTAGGGGACGCATTAGATCTTTCGAGGTGTAGACTAAGCCAGACCATTCGCACTGTCGATCTGAAAAGAATCCAGACATGGGGAAAGTGCATACATTATCAAAGAAAATAGATGAACTGACAGCAGTTAAACCATCATTATATGTATATGTACATATTCATATACATATTAATTCACAATATATATATAAATAAATTATATATTATAATAATATACATACAAATACACACACACACACGAGTGCATGCAAATGTCTATGTATATATACACACACACACACACATGTGTGTGTGTGTGTATGTGTGTGTACATGTTTGAATACATTGATGTAATAGATGTGCAGACATACATATGTACATACATCTAATGCACTTATGCACATGCACATGCTCACACACACACACGTTGGAAGTATAGCAAGCTTAGTTACGGATTATTTATTCTTACAATATTAATCTATATCATCTCAAATTATTGCAACAATTTCTGAATACACTTTCCCTTCAGAATGGGAAATAAGGTTTTGAAACGTATTTGCGCACCTATTACGTCTTTCTTCGCTGATTTCCACTTGGATGGCTCTCTCGATAGACCAAGATCCTTCCCGAAATCGTCTCCGTACCAGCACATCAGCTCGCTCCCCCTGTTCACAATTAGTTTGGCCTTGTTTGTCTGTATCTTTAAATATCAATAAGCACGTTATGACAGGTGTATGGTCAGGAAAAGTTGACTTCACTACTGAATTATACTGACCTGCTAATTGCAGAGTCCGTCTTGTAGTAGATCTGCCCCTTGTACTGAAATGCAGATAGGTTAGTCTCAGCGTCAGTCCTTGAACAGTTGACGTAACGCATCCAGTTACTAACTGCACTGTCTACAGCATCAATGCATGTATTCCTTGTTCCAGCACCTCGAATCTGGAAAGTACAGGAAGGTGAAGAATTTTCAACTATTTGCGTAAGTGGATTTCCTCTTAAAATATTTGGTGGTTTGTAGAAAACCGCTGAAAAATCATTCTGCAATACATTTATCTGATATGTTTTACGCCACAGAATACACTAACCTTCCACCCATAGCCAGATTCTTTGCCGGCTTCCGGATGGCCAGATAGGACACGGCCCTCATACGGACCAAACACAAGATGGGCTGGGAGATGAGCATTGGTCCACACGCCTTTTTCCTGCCCCCTTCACTTTCGAGTCGTACACAGTGAGGGGCCAAGGGGCTGTGAGGCGAGCACGATCTTTCTCGCTGCCGTCTCGAACAACCTGCCCAAACATACCATTGGGATGATAACGCTATTTGAAAATGTGTGCATGTGTCTATGATCATCATCAGTTATGCTTGTGACTAGTTAAATTTTCACACCAGTTAAATTTTCATTCTTACGGGGTTATCCAGAATAAGGAACAATGGTGGTACGGACACTCTCCCTCTTTCTCTTCTTCACAGTCTGCGCAATCTGCAAACAAATAGAATTCATGGTATCTGAATCTATCTACATGTACAATCCTAAGTGTACAACTATCATATACAATTTTATAAAGTGATGAAATGAAAATAATTCAAGATTATGAAATACACGCAACGACACCTATGAAGATGTAACAAACGCTTTTTCTTACAAATAAAATCATCATCTTTAGTAACGTTCTCTTCATAAAACAGCTTCCTTCTGCTACTACGTCTTGGGTACCGCGTCTTGGACTCTCCTGAAAAACAGCTGTTTCCCCGGCCCTCTTCATCTGATCCTACACCAAGTGTTTTAGTCTCAGCTGGAAGCTCTTTCACTGTTTCCATCTCTGTATCTGTTGCCAAGTGTGACATGGGACCGGGAAAGATCCCCTTGTCCTCTGGCTTAACATTTTCTGCAGCGGAAGCTCCACTTGACCTGTCGACTGTTGTTGGCATTATCTGGAAGATTAAACAATTTTCAAAGACATTTTTTCATTTGTAATAAAGCATAGATATATTAGGATGACTCAGCTTGGCGATGCTGCAAATAGTCAATAAAAATTCATATCACTCCAAATAGATTGGACAGCAGGCTCCCTTGCTCCCGGTAGCTGACACAGCTTAGCACTACTTCAGCTCCGGCGCCCGGCTGAGATCAGCACTCACTGATCCTCTAGCAGAGCAAGACCACAACAGCAAACAGGCCTACCTAGGCCTTAGCCGTCGGGGGAGCCGCCCCGGCTCTCCCCGTCGATCTCCAGCACCCAGACATACCTGTAGGCACTCACACCCACACCAAACACTCCTTAGAGAGATGATCGACACCAGACAAATGGCGGATGCAAATCCATTGCCATACGGTATCCAACATTCGCTTTACTTTATTGCTCGTGGCACACTTGCCAAATAGACAATATCTGCCGTAGTCTGCACAACCCATGCTTAAAAACTATGTTCCAGACTCCTGCATTTCTATGCCCAGACAAAAACAGAAGCGGACACGGAATCTGGATAAAAAAGGGAGGACATCACGCAAACACATAGACAAAGGCACGAAGACAAACCTTGGCAGTGCCCTTTGCACCTGCCACCAACTTGGCTGGAGTCCACAACGGTATAACATCTACTTGGTCTACACTGAGTGGCGCATCATCGTAGTTCTCACTCCTTCTGGCCCAAGCTGGAGCACTCCACTCTGCCTTCCTCTTATGACCGCCTCTTCTTCCACTGCCTACGCTTCCATTTTTGCTTGCATACCTGCAACAACAATTAACCTCCATTATATTAGCTTCCAGCAAAAGTACTGTACATGCAGTCTCATTCACTATGCCCACTGGAGTCGTCGCCCTACCTGCTAGATTGCTCCTTCTCGGGCGTCCACTCGTCGTCTCCATCGTAGTCGAGGACTCGAGCTGGCCTGGCTGTGGGCGCGAAAACCCGTTGCATCGCTTCCTCTGTTGTGCAAACAAACTCCGGGAGCTTGGGGTCCAGCCTGAAAGTGCGCCGCAGTTGTTTAAGAGATTTTGGAGAGGAAATGTGTATGAGCCGGTGATGAAAGAAATCCCAGGATCCAGTGAAGCATTTTGGTAATACCATGATTGTAATGTGCGTATTTAGGAGTTTTTACATTTTGCACAAGCGCATGCGCGCGTTTCAGAAGTATATGTGGATGTCTGCGCATAAGTTTTTTGTGTGGGAAAGGGGGTATGTGTGCAAATGAATGGAACACAATAATTATATAAATACCACATATTCACAGCTACGCTTTTCCAGGCCATGTATTTGCTAACCCTCCGCTTCCGTAACCAACGAGTCTTACATGGACGATAAAAGCCTTCGAGATTTTGTGTTTCCTTATCCTTCTCTTAGCTGTACTCTCTACAATTTCCTTTTTTCACAAACTCTTCTGCCTCTTGGCACTCCAACAAAACCCAACACCACCTCTTATTTTCTACAAAGATGGAGCTCGTAGACCTCCCTGGCGATGCGCCATCTGTCAATGATCGAACAGCCACTCGGAGCTCCATCTTGCCAGAATGCCCGAGTCGGAGAATGGGAGTCGTGAGTCTGGCCTGGCGGTGGCCTTCCGCTGCCCCGCAGGTCCCGTGGACCTTGGTAACCAAAGACTATCTACGAAAGACAGGAAACATGCTATCTAACGCATTCTAAAAAATGTGAGCTCCCCGGTCGTCTACCAGCGCCATCCGTTGACTCGACGCCCAACTAAACATCCGACGTCGTTCAGTGGGGGTGTGCTCACTCGGGTTCATGTTCTTGGTCAGTTCAGACTTATTCAGAGGGGGTTGCGAATAGCTTATTTACTAAAAATAAATATATATATATATATATATATATATATATATATATATATATATATAATTCATATCGTATCATGACTGTAGTAGCATTATTTTCTTCATAAAATTCTTTCGCCCCTCCCAGCCCGAAGCTACCCATTCGGCAATTTAGGGCCGGTTAACAACTGTAAATTGGTAGTTCATACATGCACGACACACATACGGCGTATACAACATGCCATATACAGGACACATTAAACCGCACAATGAACTTATAGGCCTACAGTCACATAACATTAGTGACAATGTATATGATATTGCCAAACATGCATCAATACATAGAAATTGAGTATGATAAATTAAAGAAAATTATTACAATATCTTTATTAGAATAATAACAAAACCTTTACAAATAAATGGCCGAAATACACATTATTATTTCAATTCTTCGCAATGCGACCGCATGATTTTGAGATTAATTTCCTCATTAACAGGTTTTTATGTTTGATTAGGGGACTGTCCCCTAACCCCCTTTCCTAGGAGCTGCCTGGAATGCATCTGCTACGCCTTTTATACTCTGGCTAGGAGCTCGAAAAGAGGCCACCCGTCGTTATCCTGTTAAAATTTGAACTTATTTTACTTTTTCTATATTTCTGTTTGTTCCTACTATGCAGATCTACAAAGTAATGAGCATTGTTCAATCGATATATATATTGATTTGGTGATAACTATAATCTATCTCAAAATCAACCTGACACAATTTTTTCACTCTATTGATGTCAAATCTATCGTCAGCTTAAGACAAATTGTAGATTAAGGCTTGCACTATAATATTAAGTAGAATTATGGCCTCTACTTTTTTTAGACGGGCGTCATGACTTGACACCTTTACCAATCAAAATAATTTCTTGTGATCCAATTTATATCTTGCTTATGTCAATCTAAACATCACATATCTTAGCTTATATCTAAAAAAAAAAAAAATATTACAAACCTTTCTTTTTCCTTGGCCAAAAATCTGAAATATAAGTTGTTTATTCTCTTCTTTTTGCTTTTTACTAGCAGAACAAGGATAAGACTTTCCTGGCATTGTCGGAACTGCCATTCAATTTTCGCGCTTCTATGTAAACAAACAGACGGTATGAGATGACGTCACGAGATGCTCACTAACGCCATCTATTGCGCCGACGCCGCATTACTCACAGGATTTTGCTTGACTTTCCGGTCTTTCGTAGATAGTCTTTGTTGGTAACAAAAGGGGCGTCGGGGTTGAGTCCATGCAAATGACAAGCATTTTGCACACGGCTTGTTTATCCCCTGTTGCTATTAGCGTATTAATGATATCACATGAGCGCAAACAGTTTCTGCTATTTTGGGAGCATTAAGCTACGGCCAGGGAAATTAAGGCAAAAATATCGTGTGAGTGTGCCCTTTGGGGGGGGGGGGGGCAAGCCAGACCTAGAGGGGTTCAAACAGAGTTTTAGGGAGTAATTTCCTTTTCAGTGGATACCCATATTTTCTTTTAAGAATTGGCACATCTCTACGGCCTCACTTAAGAAAAAATCCGTTTCCGATAAATATCCGATGGAAGTGAAATGCACATTCGAAGCGACACAACTCACCGAAGTCTTTCATCGCTTTGTAGTTTCTCAGGATATTCTCGAAGCGATTCTTCTCGATCTCCGGGAAGGAGAGTCATTCTTCCGTCGAAAACAGTTGGTTTACGTCCTCAGCCATCGCACTTATGCGGCCGAAAAGTCTAAATGTTCCCTGAACCCAATGTCGAAAGGATCAACGGATGCCGAGGCTCGGACTGAGCCGATTCACTTGGAGCCTCGTGCTGCGTGGGGCCGTGACGTCATCATGACGTTTTGTTTTCGTCATACTCATGAATTATAGCATTGATAATTACAGAATATCATCTTTTGATATAGGTAAATTAAGCGAGTAGGCAAAGAAGGCCCCTCAATCATAAGATACGCCTTGATTTTTGTTGTTGTTGAAGATTAAGCCTCTGAGCTACATGGGCGTGACGTCACGACCAATCCGTTCGCGAGAATCCACCTAAAGATTTCCCGCCAAAAGTCATTGCGTTCAGGATCGCTTTCAAGGAAGTCATTACTTCAACTGGTATTAGCATTGATATTTGCTATTCTCAGAAGAAAAAAAAAACATATAAGAAATTACAAATTACATCTGTAAGAGGACAAAGAGAGCTCAATGCTATCAAAAATATATCAAGGCGTGAGACACGGGCAGCCTAGCTGAAGACTTCGTAGCACATTAGTCTTCCATTTATATTTTCCAGACTTTCTTTGGTCATTCTTGAATTTCAGATTTATGTTAAAGACAATGTATTTATCAGAAACGCGATTACTGAGTAAATATTTCACATGATTCAACCTATCAAAGTAAAAGTAAAGACAGATTAATGGTTAACCTCACTATTTTCATTTATATATTTATTTGTTTTTGTTTTTTTTAATTCTTTCTTTATTTATTTATTCTTTACTGTTGTAAATGATGCAATCTCACTTTTTAATGGAAGTCTTAGTAGGCAGTGTCACAGAAATAGATTTGTGAGGCAGTAATTAAATGCATCGTTTGATTCGTGTAATATTATCTTTGTAGAATATTGCGAGTTTGAATTTTGTTGTAAGTTTCCAGTGATTAAATTTTCTTTGATTATACGATTATTCGTATGATTTATTATAGAAAACGATTCTAATTTTGTTTCATTTTTTTGCTGCTGGCATTTTTTATTTGAAATATCTTAGTATGTGGACTATGTTATGTGAAACGTATGTGTGTATAGGCTGATGTAGAAGTGAATGAATTTATATTTGTCATTATGAGTCAGATATCCTGTTTATCCAGTGAAATAAGTTGAAATATGTGATATGGCCAAGACGTTACCGCGTTTTCCCGCCAAATTTACCCAGGCAACAAGTAGCCCCGCCCCTTGCAGCATCTGTAATTAAGAAAGAATATGGTTATACGGAAGGTTGAGTTTTGAGTCGATCACCGATATCAAGAGATATATTGACAGTAAGAATGGGATTTAAATATGCATTGACTAATTATTGATAATAGCCCATTTGTACAAATGTTTCCCATCCTTGAAGCTGATTGGTTCACGCACGAGCAGCGCTTAGTTCTGATTGGTCTTCCTATAATCTGTATTATGATTGGCTGGGAGAGCCTGGGCAAGGCGCCACCACGAACAGGTTTTTTGTTGACTGACACGCTCATAATTGCGTTTGTGCTTTGACATTCTTGTATAACGCCAGTATTTCTGGGAAGAGCTGGCAGTTAAAGTGCTAAAGGATTGTTGCAGTCACAGTGGTAACCCCAAGGACTTCGGTGTAGTCTGGGAAAGAGCGCTGGCGTTGGGCTTGCTGCCTTGCAGAGTGATTTTCTACCCTCACGTGATCATCGCATTGGTTGGTGTTTATTAGTATACTGTATTTGCCTTTATAAGAATAGTGATGTGCCATTATTTCCATGTAGGTGTAATCTATGTCAAGTGCTGATACCTGATATGTTTTACATAAGCGGAATTGTCTCGCATAGATGCAAGGGTGCAGGCTGTCTAGCTGTCCTGAGATGTACCTGTCGTGCCGTGACGTGCCTGTGGTGATGTGAAGTGTCAGTGTTACCCGCTTTGGGATACGATGTACGTATTTTATGTTTGTGTATTGAATTTGCTACTTATGTTAGCCATTTTGAAATTATTTGTATATTAGGTGAGCTGCATTTCAGTACATAGCAATGGTATCTATTTGTTTGCAGCTCGAATGTCTCCTCCAAGAAAGGTTTAAACCGTGTGCAAGAATCCAAGAGACTATTCTTGAAGCCCTTATTGCTGCAGGCAGTGCAGACACATTGTACTGGTGGCCCCACAGTGTGACGTATTCTGTAGTTGGAGATACTGGGGGCTACAATCTTCGAGACGGAAAGTGCTGATAAATGAAGGCGCATTTCTTGTCTTGCTGCCGCATATATATTGAACCAATATCTTGTATGAGTTCTCTGTTTTAGATCATGTTTTTTTTCGTTTTCATTTCATTGCTAGACTATATCAATATATTTTTGCCTAGATCTATTTCTAAACAAGGAGAGAGTGAAAGAGGCAAGACTGCCTGTCCAGAGCAATCCAGTGGACTCACATCCAAAGGTTTCTTTTTCTTTTTTATTGTATTTAGACAGTGGAAGAACAATGCATTTTAAGGACCAGGGTAATTATGAAATGGAATCACCGATTAAGAGGTAAATAACATAGTTTAGAGGAGCCTATTAGAATTCACATCTTGGTAAGGATTAAACTTTCTTATAATTGAAGTCATATCCATGGAAATACCTCAGTACATGATATCAATAAAGAAACATATAATAAACAAAATTAATATTATTACGAAATGCAATTAACGTTACCAATGCACCATTTACCAGGACGCTTAGATCATGAACTTTCAAAACAAAACGTTCTTGTACAAAGCCTTAGGTGAGTCATTCTATGTTTCTCTCTCTTTCTGACACACAAACACGCACACATACACTTTTATTTTGCGTTCTTAAATTCTTCAAGATTTTTTTTCTTTCATTGCACAGAAGTTCCTGTAACAGCGCTTTGCAAAAATAGGCAGTAATATAGCAACACTAGAATGCAGTTTAATGATTTTATATAAAATTAAAAATGCAAGCTATTAGTTAGGCAAATATACAGATAGAGAGAGAGAGAGAGAGAATATACAAAGAGTGAAGGACAGACTCACTATAGCATACTGCATAGCATGCCACGCGGCGCGGACCCGGACCACGTGGCATGCTATGCAGTATGCTATATCGTAGGTGCCGAGCGATATAGCATACTGCATAGCATGCCACATGGACCGGGTCCGCACCGCGTGGTTGGACCACGTGGTCCGTTCGCGCCCGCCTGCGCCCGCTGGTCAGAATATAAGGGTGGCCGACCTCTTTTCTTTTAACTTTGCTTGCTTGACCCAAGCTCTCATTCTCATACCCTCGGCGAGCTTGCCCGTAGTCGGCCGTACCACCTCGTTGGCGTGTAGGCCGGACACAAGCACCAAGAGCCGTATCGCGTTCCTTTCATACTAGTGTTCTTAAATAAAAGTGCACAGCTACATCAGTGTATCTCTACCGCCACCAGTAATTCAATAAATCCATATAGGAGGCTTTAGAGCCTTTAATACTCACACACACACACACACACATGGACAGATAGAAAGACAGACAGGCAGTCAGAGAGAGAGAAAACGAAACGAGAAAGAGGTGGCACAAGGAGGGGGAAAGGAGAGCAAAATCTAATAGAAAATGAGAAAGAAAAGATACCATAGACCCAATGGA